CCCTGAAACACTGTTTGATATAGTGCTGGAAGATGAGCTCCTCAGGTCAGGGGGCACTCAAAATACAACTGGGGAAGAGCTGCCTCCTTAGAGTATAGCCAAACCTTAATGATGTGGACAGAGGAAAGCTTTTGGGATATCCATTTGTTGATGTGGCATGAATCAAAATGAGAAGAAACAGCTACAAACATCCATTAATCATTGGAATGTGGAACGAATGAAGTATGAATCTAGGAAAACTCAAGTTGTCAAAAATGAAATGGAATGCATAAAGACCGATATACTAGGCATTAGTAAGCTGCAATGGACTGGTTTGGGCCATTCTGAATCAGACAACGATATGACCTACTATTCTGAGAATGACAAATTGAAGAGGAATTGGCACGGCATTCATCATCACAAAGAATGTTTCAAGATCTATCCTAAAGTACAGTGCTGTCAGTGGTAGGATAATATCCATACATCTACAAGGAAGACCAGTTAATACCATTGTTACTCAAATTTATGTACCAACCACAAAAGCCAAAGATGAGGAAGTAGAAGATTTTTACCAACTTCAGCAGTTTGAAATTGACTGAACACGTGATCAAGATGTGTGAATTATCACTGGTGATAATGTAAAAGTTGGAAACAAAGAAGAAGCACCAGCATTTGGGAAATATGGTCTTGGTGACAGAAGTAACACTGGAGATTGCATGATAGAATTTTGCGAGACCAAGGTGACAGAAATAACACTGGAGATTGCATGATAGAATTTTGCGAGACCAACGACTTATTCATTGCAGATACCATTTTTCAACAACACAAATGGTGGCTATACACGTGGACTTCACCAGATGGAGTACCCAGGAATCAGACTGACTACATCTGTGGCAAGAGGCAATGGAGAAGCTCAGTATCTTCGGCAAAAACAAGACCAGGAATTGATTGTGGAACAGACCATCAACTGCTCATATGCAAGTCCAAGCTGAAGCTGAAGACAATTAAAACAAATCCACGAGAGCCAATATGACCTTGATTATATCCCTCCTGAATTTTGAGACCATCTAAAGAATATATTTGATGCATTGAAAACCAATGACTGAAAACCAGAGGAATTGTGAGATGACATCAAGAACATCATCCATGAGGAAAGCAATCACTGAAGTGACAGGAAAGGAAGAAAATGGATATCAGAAGAGACTCTGAAGCTTGCCTTTGAATGGAGAGTAGCTAAAGCAAATGGAAGAAATGAAAGAGCTGAACAGAAGATTCAAAGAGCAGCTTGAGAAGACAAAATCAATTATTATAATGAAATGTGCAAAGACCTGGAGTTAGAAAACCAAAAAGGAAGAATACAGTCAGCATTTCTCAAGCTGAAAGAACTGAGGAAAAAATGTAAGCCTCGAGTTGCAATACTGAAAGATTCTATGGTCAATATATTGAAGGATGCAGGAAACATCAAAAGAAGAT